TTCTAGCCTTGGCGTTGTTGCGTCGATCGGGGACCGGCGTAGTAGTAGTAGCCTCGGCCGCCAAGTCGGCGACGGTTCCATCGTCTGCCGCAGGAGGAAAGGATGATCCTCCGCCTCCTCCTCTGCTCCGACGCCTCGTGGTACCCCCGTCCCCGCCACGCCGACTCTCTCCGCCCGCCTGCTGTTGCTGCGGAAGTGATGTTGGTACCCGTGGCTGGTTGCCACTGTTGGCGGCGGCAGTGCCACTGACGCCACTACCGCCGTTGGCTCGCTCTGACGGCGAGGAAGGGGTCCTCTGGGCCTGGTAGGGAATTTCCGGCACGTGTTGTAACCGTCACAGCAGAACAAAGAGAGCCGCAGCATCGTCAAGAAAGAGGCATTCTTCGTCCATGAAAAGGGCCACGGCCAATCTTTGTCTATTTAGGTGGTCGGCGCAAAAAACGGGTCACCCTTGTCCTTGTCCATACCTAAAGATGGAGGCGGAGAGATGGCACCCCCCCTGAACCAGCTTTCAAAGCGCAAATGTTCCACAACCAAGATTGTCTGTACGGTACCGTATACCGTACCGTATACCGTACCGTGGTATTCCGCAAGAGACGGAGAGATGGCACCCCCCCTAGACCAGCTTTCAAAGCGCAATTGCTCCACAACTAACGAGGCACGGAAAGACCCAAGAACAATTTACGGAAAGCCCTCGACGACATGTTTCCAAAACCACCACTGTTGGTGTTGGCAGGCGCCATCTTGGTTCTGGGAGAATTAAATCGGTCTAGAGGGGATGCCATCTCTCCATCTCTTACGGCATGCGTGGCTTAAGGTGCCCGCGAAAAGCCAGCGATTTCTTCTCGCACGAGTGCTCTTTCTGAGCCTCGAGGATGGCTAGGTACGGGTAGGATGCCTCCTGCGTGCCCGTGTTCTCTCCAGTCTTTCAAAATGATGTCCTTCGCGGTCCACTCGTCTTCGTGCTTCGCGCTGCACCAGGATCAGCTTCGATGCAACTTGTAATCTTTGCATTCTACTCGCGCGATTACCGGAAGCGCTATTATAGCACCACCTAAGAACCTCTGATGTTGTGTTTGTGCCCGACTTTCGTTCCTTGTCTTCTGCGGCGTGAAACCTGACATGGACTATATATAGGATAAGTGTAGGTTCCTCATCTGGGCGTCTGTTTCTATGGTCAATTTCTTGAACTTATCCAAGTTTGAGCCTAAATTTCTCAACTCTCAAGACTCTTGGGTGATGGTGCTAACTGCGCTCTACACCACAAGTGCTTCTGAACCTTTCTAATATCGCTCGACTGAGTCTGAGGTGTGTCTGACGGGTGTTCCTGTGCCGTGGATGGCATGTCCGGTCCATTCGACTACTTTCGCTCGGCGGTGTGTGTTTACAACAACTACCCTGCGGTGAAGCTCGTCAACTCGGGCGGTAGTTGAGGTATGAAGCCCAACGCTTATCGTTGGAACAACGCCTGTCAAGTCTGCGGTGTGTGCGACAAGCAAGGGCGATGCTAGACTTGATCAAAACCAACTCAATCAACTTCCACTGCCAATTCAAGGCCAGCAAATCGCATCGGTGAGTCGCTTGCTACAGGGTGATTGATCTACACACATCGGGTGGACCAAGACATCCAGACACACCCCCCGAACGAAGTCACCTGGCCTGCACCGCTTTTCGCGGAAGCACCGGCCTCTTGCTGCTCTTGCGGGGGTGGCGACCCACCAAACGAAGGGGTGAATGTTGCCGCTCTCGCATCAAGCCTGCGCGCCATGGTATCCTCCACCCGCGAGATCTGACCCTAACCCTAACCCGAACCCTGACTTTGATGCCGACCTCCCGCTGCCGTAGCAGATCCAGACCAATCTCTAACTTCTTTACTTCCCGAAACGGCGTGTGGTATCCACGCAGCCGCTTCACGAGGAGGTGGGTTCGCCCCAGCACGTTTGTCCCCGACTTCTGCTGGTCCCTCGCTGCTGATGCCGTCTGTGTCTGCTCCTGGTGGTGATCGTGCGTAAGCCGTGGACGGGAAACATATGAAGAAACAAGTGCGAGTCGTCATCAAAGTTGAGCCTTTCAAATCACATAAAACCCATTTATTATTTGATTATTTCCGGCTGTCCAGTCATTGGTTGTCGACACACGATGGCTGGCGCCATGCCGGAAAGCACGATCAGACCTAGGCTGTTCGCCTGTGGGCGATCGGCGCAGACATGCGCTTGATGTTCGTTCATGGTTGATGGTTCATGGCCGGTGCCACGGCCAAGAGGAGGCTGCTGCTGGTGTGTAGTAGTAAACGGAGGGGGGAGGCCAAAACGCCTTTTCGTGCGAATCATCTCATCGGCGTAAAAGTATGAGTCCGTCTCTCCTCCCTCCCTTCCATACAATCGTGGCTGCGATGTGAGTGAGAGGAACGAAATCGGTCGTCACGGACTTGACCCGCTACACGCTACCCCCCTCATTCCGGTACAACACGATACAAGAGGGGCTCCGACATACGAGAGTCGGAAGGCCTTTGGTCGCACCACCCTCGTTCCCGACAACTCTGTACACGCATCTGCTTTCGAACGACGCTACAATGTAATCATATTATTGTGGTGTTGTCCAAATTACCCACAACCCAACTGCCAACATTCCCGAGGGAACACACGTTACGTTACCCTTTCATTTTTTCTTTCGGCGGGTGTGGGAAGCGTCCTCCTTTATTTTTATTTTTTTTTGTTATTTTTGTTTTGTTTTATTTTGATCGGGGTCCGAGGGCTCTTTTCTCGAACAGTAGGTGCGATACCTGTTCTTTTCTTTCTTTCGATCATTTTGTTTTCTTTTTCTGAGTGGTTTGTATCCTATTTTTGTTTTTTGTTTTCTCGCGGCGTCGTATGTGCCGGGTTTTGAGACCACGGGCTCCCCATTTTTTGTGGACTATAGAGCTAATGTGAGAAACAACAACAACAACAACACTGGCAAACGCGGCCGACGCCCTTACGGGAAACGTTGTGCAAGTACATGCCAATGTCACTTACACATGACGGATAAATGCACAGAATATGTACTCTCACGAAGCGGCGCTTGAGGTGCCAGTGCTCACGAACCGTCCCGCAAAAAATAAAAAAGTGTGCTGCACACATATGCGGATCGTATGTACGATCAAATTTGGGCATCGACTACATGCACAACGCGCACGATTCCCTCAGTCTCCAATCAGTGCCTGCTGCTTTCGCTTTATCTTTCCACAGGAGGAAGGAGTCGGCACTGCTGTCACCAGTGGAACGACAAAAAGATGCGCTGGAAGGCTGCTGACTGCTGCAAGGTTCACCGAAAGAGTTCAACCTTTACGAGCAGCATCATCCGAGCAGAAACTGCACCTTGCGCTAAATAGCGAGCCAGGCTGTTTTCGCGCCCTCAAGGAGTAGGTCGGCACGGTAAACGTATGCGTGTCGCGCAAGAAGTACAACGGGAATCACACCGCTACTACACTACACTTGCAGCTCCGAGTGCCGAACCTACATGTGCATCGAGCAGCATCTACAAAAGTACAGTGGGTGGCCCGATATAGTGCCGGTTGAATAGTGCCAGTTGCCGGTATAGTGCCGGTGTTTTCGGCTCGCACACACCACCGGGTTTTGAGACCACGGGCTCCCCATTTTTTGTGGACTATAGAGCTAATGTGAGAAACAACAACAACAACAACAACACCGGAATATCAAGTCTTTCTGTACTCTGAATAGTGCCGGTGCCCGGTATAGTGCCGCTTTGCTCTCTGAACACATACCGGCACTATAGAGGGCCCCCTACTGTATGTACAATTCTGCTGGGTGTAAATGTAGACTACTTTGAGAAGCACACCGACATGGTACTCTGTAGGTTATACATGTGTCCTGCGAATGGTCTCCCACTCACGCTATGCACCGCTGTCCATCCGCCTCAGGTGCTCTGCCGCTCCTTCCTGTCGGCCCCGCCTGGTCAGACCGGTAGGTACAATGTATCACTTCGCTGACCCACTTTGAACGCAGGCGGGGGGCGCACAGAATACACTAGATCGACGATATAGACAGGTTGCATGTCATCATATTTGTCTGCAGACCCCCCAACTGGTGCATTTTTGTTGTTTCGTGTTCTCGCAAAACCGATACCCGGATTCTCGTGCTTGCTGAGCGAGAAACGAACATGGTGCTGTTCGGGCGGTTACTTCCGTTAGCATTGGCGTGGGTGGGCTTGAGAGCTGCTCAGGGACTGGACAGTGGGGTGAGTGGCGGGCGCGCGGGCGTGATGATGGTTCGGACTGACTGAGAAGTCGGAGTGTTTTCTTCTTTGGTGCGCAGCAGAGACAGCAGCAGACGCTGAGTCTACGCCTGCGACGGCTCTTGTGTGGTGTAGTTTTATTCCCAGGTTCCCAGGAAACAGGTAGGGACACAGGCAGATCTCAGGGACCACCTGTGAACCCGGCCCCGTGGTTGTGGGTGTTCCGTTCCGTCGAGACTGACTCTGGTTGTTCGCTCGACTCGGCAGTTCTCTCCCTGTCACAGCAGCAGCACCGCCATTATTTTTAGAACGCAGACATAACCTCACAGAAAGACCACCCGTTCGAGATATAACCTCAGCCGAAAGGTGTGGTGAAGTCTTTTCGGTAAGTGGATTGAAACCAACTGGAGACTTGGCTTATTATGAGTTTTGTAAGTCTAACACTGAGTAATCAGTAATGCCAGTTGGAGCTAAGAACAAAGGCATCTGTACAGGCGGTACATGTTGAATTATTTTATGTGGCAAGAAAAATACCTTCACCCCCTACGGGCCTAGACTAATTCTCATGGAACAAGTGCATCCCACCGCACAACTCTCTTTATAGCGGAGCACAGGCAGGGAGGGAGAGGCAGCTGCTCCGGTTTTGCGCCAGAAACAGTGCATCTCCCGGCACCATCCCAGCGAGCATTCAGCAATAGCTGGGTGACTGGTCTTGTATTGTCCCACCACAGCCACAGAGCAGGCGGGGTAACTCGCCGTACAGCGGTTGTTGTTGTTGTTGTTGTTTCTCATATAAGCTCTGAAGTCCAAAAGAATGTAGAGCCCGTGGTCTCAAACCCGGCACATAAGACACCGCAGGGAAACAAAAAACTTGGGCCCTCCAAAACGCCGACAGGTACGAACAAACTCCTTCGTGTGTGGTCGAAGATGGACTGCGTCTGCCACTTGATGCGACAACATCTGGGAACAATACGGACACATGGAGTACTCCCCCTACCCATACACACACCGTCAAAACTGCTTATAAGCTAGAACAACCTCCCATTCCTCTCTTTCCACATACAAATGATGTAGATGCATGAAATGATACACTCTGTCTTTACTTATGGTCCGCGCTGCCTTTTTTTTTTTTTGTCTTCACTTCAAAGCAGCGCTCACAGCACTGGTGCCGTCTACTCCAACCCGTGGTCACACAGAAGGGCCCCTCTCTACCCTACCCTCCTGCGGTACGTTGCCTTCNCCTCCCATTCCTCTCTTTCCACATACAAATGATGTAGATGCATGAAATGATACACTCTGTCTTTACTTATGGTCCGCGCTGCCTTTTTTTTTTTTTGTCTTCACTTCAAAGCAGCGCTCACAGCACTGGTGCCGTCTACTCCAACCCGTGGTCACACAGAAGGGCCCCTCTCTACCCTACCCTCCTGCGGTACGTTGCCTTCGATTTTTGATGCGAGAAGAGTTCAGCACTCTCTTCCCTCTGTGTACACACGAACCAGCGCTATCCACTCGGCCAGGAGCGGAAGCGAGAGAAAAACTCACTTTGCAAGAAAAGCTCGCTTTTTACGCCGGGATTCGAACCCCTGGCCTGACCTCTAGAAGGTTTCGGAATACCAACTAGACCACCGGGGCGAGCGGTTAACTGCCCACAAACAAATGGGAAAGGCAGCAATACCTTCTGCCGACACACGGGCGAGAGAGGTGACCATACCCACTGCATTTAACACACCCCACATGTCGGTGATGAAACCCCAACTACACGCCTCTATCGGCGCCCACGTCAGGAGGCGATGATGAGATAATGTTATCCCGTGCCCTTCTCACATTGAAGACCCGGTCTCATCCACAGAATCGAAATCGGAAATCGAAATCGAAATTCAGTTCAAGTCTTCCAAGAGCCAAAGACCATCTGCTGTGATTGGATTGTTGTTGTTGTCGTTGTCTTCACATTAAGAACCGTTCCGATCTCTCTCCACCCAATACCTTCGTATGCCCGTACTGATCTAACACTCGACGCGGTCGATTCCCGTGGCCGCAGGCTAACTTACCCTGAAAAGGTACACTAGAATGAAATGGCCCCGAGGGGTCCGCAAGTCAATAGAAATCACCAACAGATATTCTGGACTCCTCCACTCCCTCTGCGCGCTATGCGAGGTAACAACTGAGACCAGGAGTTACCATCACGCGGCGGAGAGAATGAGGTACACCCCCTTGGTTCAATCTTGGTACTTCACAACGCAAGCAGAGACAAGGCCATCTGGCACAGAAAAAGAGACAAAAAGAGAAAGAGAGAAGAAAATAAAAGGAAACAGTAAGGAAAGAGAAAATGAAAGAAAAAGAGCGAGGATGAAAAAGGACCAGGCCGAAAATAACAAGAAATAAGAGACAGAAAAAGGCACACGGTGGAGAGACCACTAACGACAAGCACACCCGCAAACATGGCCACCAACCAGCGATACATTGTAATGGTACGTCATCACTAATGGGGGGTTGGTGCAATGG